GTGCTTGCGGACGCCCTCTCTCGATGTCCAGACCCCACATCACATGGGAGACAACGGATCGATTTGATCGGATACGCATGGCGTATCGGGATGATGAGGCTGTCGCGCCTATCGTCAAATGCCTCGCAGCAGGAATGACCGCGAGGTCTGACTGGCTTTCGTCGCGACAGCGCTCCCGGCTCCACCGATATGAGTTGAAGGATGGCCTCCTCTACTACCGGGTGGAGCCCAATGAACCTCCACGGGTGGTCGTACCCAACGACGACGATCTGAACTTCGACATCCTCACGGAGGCGCACGATACGCCCTCCAGCGGCCACTTGGGTCGCGAGAAGGCCTTCGTGTCGGCCTCTCAGGCATTCTGGTGGACCCACATGTACCAGGGGGTCGCCCGGTACGTGAAGACATGCGAAACATGTCAGCGGGTTAAGCCCGCAGGGCACGCTTCAGCTCCGTTACAATGCCTGTCCGTTCCGGCTGATTGTTGGAAGTTGATGAGTCTTGACTTCATCTTTGAGCCTCCCGCCGATGGACACTGCAACACCGGAATTTAAGTGTTCGTGTGTCGGCTGAGCAAGATGGTACATCTTGCTCCAGTACCCGTTACTATAAGAGGCAAACAGACATCGAGGTTGTTCGTCGAGGGCGTGTTCCGCTATCACGGTCTCCCGGTGACGATTGTATCGGACCGAGACCCGCGGTTCACGGCTGCGTTCTGGAAAACGCTGCTACCTTTGCTTGGAACTCGTCTGCAGATGTCCACTGCGGACCATCCGCAGACAGACGGCCAGACAGAACGCATCAATCGAGTGCTCGAGGACACCCTGCGCAGTGTGTGCGCGGAAGCACCACGTGCGTGGTCGACGCAGCTTCCTGGTGTTGAGTTTGCGATCAACAACGCGGTACACGCGTCCACGGGGTTTACGCCGCTCTACTTGAACGGATTCCGTCGCCCCAGAGCATCTCTCACTCTTCGAGGAGACACTGACTCCTCTATTCTAAGTGGGGGAGAGGCTCGGAAAGCCCTTTCCTCCCAGGTCTCGGATGTGAGACCGGTTTCACTGCGGAAACAAGTAAAATCCTTTGTGGACACCAATCTGAGCGTTGTCAGCAGGGTCCGCGATGCCATGGCAGCGGCCCAGGATAGACAAAAGGAGTACTCTGACAAACATGGAAGAGGAAACTTAAGTGTATTTGAGGTGGGTGACTTAGTGCTATTATATACGAGGCGCCTACCGCTAGATACTGTCAGCTCTGTCGGCAGCAACAAGCTGAAGCACCGCTTCACTAGCTCATTCACAATCCTGGTCAGTCATGGTGCGTCGTACACCATTGACCTGCCAAAGTCAATGACGACGCACCCGACGTTCTATGTTGGACGTCTTAAGCGGTACTTTGATCCGCAGGGGGTTGCTGACTCGCAGACCCACCCTGCCCAGCTCCTCAAAGCGAGGGCGGACCACAGACCTCGACGAAGGCGTCGGAGCAGGCGCCCAAGCCTCAGTCTGGACGGCAAAGCTGCGGTCAAAACCGTACGCCGGAGGGGCTCCGTACGAACGGACCCCGGAGGCATACGCTGAGTACGCTGAGTACGCCGGGTACGCACCATACGCGTACGTCTGGGAGTGTGCCATAGGCGGCTCCGGACGTGGCAACAGAGCCTCGATCCGTCGGATCATGCGAAAGGCCTCGTCCAGATCGGACGAAGAGGCCCGGCGATCCATCCGCAGGCTCGCGACCTCTCGCTCCAACAGGTCCAGGCGGCCCGCAAGACGAGCGAGCTCGCCCTGACTCCCGGTCTGGGCGGCAACATCATCGCCAGTCCCAAGGCCAAGTGCAATCTCAAGCACGAGGACGTGTTGACGAATGCGGTCAGCTCAGGGCCCTGCGTCTGACCCACAGGAGAAGCACTCGGACGGGAGTGGCTTTCGGGAGGCGCCGAGTACTCGTACTCGTACGAGGGCACCTCCGCCCCTGCTTGAGAAGTCCACTACCACGTCGAGCGGATACTCCAAGAGCAACAGCGTCGCGGTAAGCGACTGCTCCTCGTGAAGTGGAGGGGTTATGCCCACTCCGAGAACTCGTGGGAGCCGATTGAGCGGCTTCTGATAGACTGTCGGAATGCTGTCGCAATATGGGAACAGAAGCGGCGACAGCTTCATAAGTAGTCCGGGGCTTCTTGCCCGAACGGGGAGCGGACGTTGACGGCACTCCGTACCCGCGCTCATCGGGAGCGCTGGAAGCCGCACGCTTCAGGATATCACTTGGCAGCATACGCTTGCTGACCAAGTGGGCAAACCGAACACGAAGATCACGCTGGTCCAGGATGCGGGGCAGCAGCTGATCTTCAGTTCCCGTACCTCCGAGGGTGAATACTTGAGAGACTCCACCCAGGCCCAGAACATGTCCTCACAAGAACTCCACGTGGGACAGTTCTCGGGAAGAACCTAGGGGTAGCCCCAGAGAGGGTAGAGACCACCCCGGCTCTCAAGCTTCTTACGACAAGTCGTGAAGTCCTTCAGAGGGATTTGGTGCGACGCGAGAAGCACGCACCGGGCCCCCTCCAAGTTGTCGACGAACAACTGCTCCTTCTGGACCAGGGTACGTTTGTAAACGCCCTTAGAAGTGTGGCCACCAACAAGGTCATGAAGAAGAGACGAGAATCTCCAGGAAGAGGTCAGCCCCAGCGCTCTCCTCGGGAGGCCAATAACCTCTTGAGTTGATGGCAGCTCCCTGGCTGACGGGCGCCACCACTGGATCCCCACGCGTGTGCTGGGCAGCCTGGAAGTTCTCCTGCTGCTGGTCGAGGTCGTTAGTGATCTCCCGGGGCTCAGGAATAGCACCCTCCTCCTCATCCTCGTCCTCTTCAGCCGAGGAACCGAAGAGGTCCCGATAGGAGTACCCAGTCTCCTTCCCCTCGCGAAGTGGAGACTTCAAAGCCGTACGCTTCTTAGAGGACTTGGCGGCTTTGGCTTTGGTGGCCTTAGCACGTCGGCAAGCGAGAGATGGATGTTTGCGAGGTGTCTCCTCCTCGTCGTCGCCAGCTTTGGGAGTGCCCTTAGCCTTGACGGCAGGTCTCTCAGAGCGCACAGGCGTCCTGGGACTGTGATCACCGTGATCACTAGCGAGCGACTGTACGCTGTCGTCATTGTTTTCGCTGGGAACTGGAGTGTGCCCTTCCACGGAGCCCACAGGAGTATCGTGAGTGCTCCCGGACTCGGTCTCGTCCTCACTACCCGAATCGAACATACGTTCAGCGAACCGTGGGTTCGACAGGTTGTCTGGGGAGACCGAAGGTGACGGACTGTGGCGCTTGCTCGCACGCTTGCTCACAGTCGCGTCACCAGTTAAGCCGATCGCCTCGGAGGTCACCTTAGTAGCCTCCTGGAGTGCAGAGCCTTTACCGTGAGGCTTAGTGCTCTTGGCTTGCGCCTTTCCGGCTGCAGTCTTGGAGCGCGTTTTCGCACCGCTCTTCGCAGTGCCACGGGGCATGCCAAAGGCCGATGTTGAGACCACGAAGAAGAGCGCTCAACCGCTGCTCGAGGCTCTAACTGTAAAGTGAACCTCCGCCGCGCTCTCGCAGCCAAGTCGATGTATTTCGACTTTGAGAATGAGAGTTTGTGACGTACACTTCCTCATTCTGATTGGTCAGAAAAACGAACCTAAGTGGGAAAGATGTAACGGGGTATGTAGCCCCAATGTACCCCTAGTTACATGAAGTGTGACACGTCATACTTTGGGATATCTGGTACATGGTGCCAGGGTCGTCCGAGGCCAACCATTGGCTGATGACATTGCTTTGACTTATAGTTGGTAGATTTAACTCATGCTTAGCCTACCTATAAATATACTCAGTTACAACTTACCCTAAATTGGTCACTTCGCTCCCTTATGCTAAGGGGACCTGTGAATCGCCGTTCACTGAGAGTTTGTATACTCTCGGAAGCCAACTTCCTCTAGCGCAAGGTGCTGTGTGACGCCGTTACACAGCCCTTGAAGGATGAGCTGAAATGAGAATAATTCGCAATCAAGGAGTACGGATGACGACAGTCTTGGACGACTTGAGACTATAGATCGGTCATTTTTAAACCAAAATTTAATACCGATTAGCGAACATTTATGGATATAAATGTTCGCTTATACAGCATCACCGAAGCGAAGAAAGCCACAGCACCGACCGCCAGACACAATACAAAACCTAGAGCGACCGATCCGGTTGTAGTGTTTGCATCCCGTGATTCCAATGCAAAGAATTTATTGGAACTCCGTTCCGATCCGCAACACCTCGGACTTGTAAAGGAATATGAAGACTGAATTATTTTAAGTGCTAGTCCTGCTCTTCCAGATCTCCTACCAACACTCACGGGTTTAACCCCGTTCCTGTACAATGACCTGACCCAACTGATTCTCATCTTGTATATCAATGTCCCATTGTGCCTGGTCTCCAATAAGAATTCCAACAGGATTTACTAAAACTCCTGGTGAGGCGTAAAGAGAATAGTATCTGGCATCTACGTGATGCTTGTAAGTGCCAGCGCAGCTAGCAAGTACTGGGACTCTTGTTCTTGATAAACGCGCTCCACCCAACCAACATACAACTCACTATAAGTGAACACCGTCGCATCATACAGTACTGCACCCCGTTTTCGCGCCCTTGGACCTATGATAAACTTCCGGATGTGATGATTCAAAATCCAAAAGAGCTATATGTTTTATGCTTAAATCAAATTTATTTGCAAATCCTATATGGTCCACACCCGCGAAAACGGGGTGCAGTACTGTACTGTAGTCGCAATCTGAGACGCGTCGAAGGTGAGACGATCCGGATTAGTTTCCAGAAACTATCTGTATCAAACCAAAGAATTTAAGTAAAACCAACAAATTGGTTGAAATCCAAAATTTTCATAAAGCTTTGTCAATTTAACGCCTAACTGTTCTATGCGTTGGGAAACCATTTTGTCTGCCGTTCCTGGTTTCCTCTAGCTTGGTGGAAGCGCGGTTCAAGATCTCCAGCACCTCAGGGTTCTTGCTCACAGTCATTTCCCATGAATTATTCGCCTTTATCCTTTCGACACACGCGACAACGGCGGAGGGCTCGCCAACCTCTTCTAAAACGCAGAGCGACACGATGTACGCAGTGCTATTCAGCACCAGACCCCGTGAGTCGGCCTCCGCCAGTATAGCAACCACATCGGCATGCAGGCCACTTGTACGAGCACGAACAATCGCATATTCAAGTGTCCACGCATCCCAAGTCACGATTCTACTGTACCGTACGAGGAAAGGCCAATACGATAGCTCCATGCCGTCTACGATAAAAGCGGTCCCGGGCAAAATCTCGTCATGTTCCTTTTGAAGTTGCCGGATTTGCTTCCAGATCACGTCAAACACACGCTTCATTACTCTTCGACTCATTGGTGGATGGTCTTGTGCTTGCCAGCGGTCCAAACACACCAGCATGGTCGAAAAGTCGTCGTTGGACTGACAGATATTCACAACCAGCGAGTTCAAGTGTGTGCGCTGTCTCGGGTACTGGCGGTCGAAGCACCGCTCCACCTCTAAGCGATCAAACACACTGGCATCACTGGATTCGTCTCCGCCTCGTTGTCCGCCTGCGAGCAGTGGGTACAAAAGCTGAGAGTAGATTTCCGGCCGCAACGTCACAGCCTTGTTCCGGAGTGCTGCACGCATGAGATCGAGCGCTACCCCAAGGTCTCCAGAAAATAAACTGTACAGCACGCCTTGCGAGAACGAATGTACGGAGCGTGGAATGACGTTCGGGAACCTGTCGATCAGCTCCATAATCGTTGGACATTCCGGCATTTTTTTCTTGCCAGTTTTGTGTTGGTCGCCACCTCGGTGATTCTTTGCTCGAAACTGTGCAATACTCTTGAAGAGGTCATGAACTGTTCGGTTGCTTGCCATGTTACCGTACAGCTGCATCTCGTGCATGAGCTCCATCATGTGCTTAAAATTGCCATCCAGTATGGCGTGCTGCAGCAGATAATTGACGATACTACTGTCTGTGCCCTGCGTTATGTAAACGAGCCCGTTCTCCTTTGCGTTCATGTATAAATCGGCGACTTTCAATCGACTAACGTCGTCTGGAGCACTCTCCACTGCATGTGCGAACGAACCGGCATCAATTGGAACGCGCTGAGTCGATCCGTGCTGAAGCAGCAATTTAGCCGCATCATGTTGACCAGCGGCTGCAGCAGCACTTACCGCAATCGAAAGCCGCTTTGGATCAAGTGCAAGCGCGTATTGAAATCGCTGCACGTATCCAATAATTATTTTCCCCACCGCTTCAGCAGCGTAGTTTGCGGCTACATCGCCCTCAGGATTCTGTTCGGCGTCTTCTTCGTCACTCGAAGAATAGAAGAAAATTTCTGGACGATGAAGAATAAGTCTAACGAGCGCGTGGGTAGACGAATAGCTCGTGTGCAAGTAGAGCTGCTCCATGGTGTTGAGCAACGTCTCCACACGAGCTCGCAGACCATTTTCTTGTCCATCCGTCACTTTGACCGTGCACTCCATACGCAATAAGAAGTTTAATGGATCTGCCTCGTGGATTCTCAGCAGATTGAATTTGCCGACCACTTCGCTCTGGTAGAATTGCGCCATGGTCTGTTGGCGGTCCGCATCCAGCATGGCCCAGAGCACGAAGCGCTGCATCTGCATTCTCGCATGGGTGAGTCTGGGCCACGTGGAGGGCGCTTTGGTCTTTGTCTTCACCTTCCCTTTCTGCTCGTCCTCCAGAAATTCCTCGTAGCCACCATACACGCGCTCGTATCGACCCTCGCGCAACGCCTTGTATAGCAGCGACAGATACTGCGGTTCTTCGAGCCTCAGACCACGGGATCGCAGCTCATTGAGCGTCCTGAGCGCCGCGTGGTAAGTCGTACCCGGGTCGTGGATACGCTCAAGTAGGACAGAGCGGGGATATGTGCCCTCTTCGTGCTGGGACGTCTCTAAAGCCGTAGAAACTGCTGGGGGGGCTGATTGAAATTCCGATAAGCCGCCTTCGGCTAAAGAGTTCTCTCTGTGCAGGAAGCGCTCATAGCCCAAATTTCTTGATCGCGGATATATATAGGGAGGATATGTGGTGATGATAAGAGGCTCGACAAGGCGGGGCGACCTTCGAGACGTGCGTAACAGCCGCATGCGTGAACTAACTTGGCGATGCATTTCGAAATTGGAGCGCCACAAGAATGGTAAAGGGAGAAATTGGTACTATGTACCAACGCAACATGTTTATGCAGCCATTAAATGATGACATTCAGAGTGATGGTTCACTTCAACTTACAGGAACCGCGTCGAGCAGTGTTGCCTATCGTCATGCCAAGGAGCCAGAAGAGTGGACAGACCCTGGAGCGTCCAGCTTCATCGTCCTCTCTTTCTTGTACGGCTGTGTTCCCGCCGCTGCCGCCGCTTCCTCCGCCAGACACCAGCAAGTGGACTGAACCAATGAGAAAGACGTCGTCCTTGCCTCCTGCATCTGTTTCAAGGAGTGAGCCACGTCCAAGACGCTTTGGGACAAAAATTACCAATCTGCTGAGTGCTGGCGATGGCAGCTTAGCCACGTACACGACTGATCACAAGTCGCCGGCTCCGATAGCCTTGGCTACAGCACAGAGATACTATCACCAATCTCAAAACCCTGGGAAGAAGCCCTGCGCTGTTGCGATCCTGGAAGACGAGAATTGCGAGATGAAGCCAGAATTTCCGCCTAAGGATGTTTTAATTGCCTTTTCGGAGTACATAACTGCGAGTAAGAACGACATTTGGGTGTCGGCAAAGAGCTCTGAGTCGACTTTACCACGGGAATGCTCTTTCAAAACGAACGCGATGCGCACTATCTGGAGCGTTACTCCCGATGAGCTTACTGAGCTGACGGAAGAAGTGGCTGCCATGAAGAAAGACTCAGCTGAATTTGCAAAGAAGCTGTCATACGCGGAGGCGAGCAAGCGCAACCTCCCTGGATCCATCGCGATTTCAGCTTCGCAAAAGATGGAAGCCGTGGAAGATGAACAATTATTACGACCATTCAAGAAATACTTCGGACTGCCAATCGTCCCATGCTACGAATCATCCCTCAGGAATTTCATCAACGCTTTGCTAACGTGCACGTCCAAGCTCCCAGACTGATTACCTTTTTGTGCTTTATTTGCCAGCAGGGATATGGATAAGGAAGGCGTGTTTGCTAGGCCAAGTATGGACAGCAGGTCTTCGTTGGTGCTGAACCATAGCCAGATCTCAGGTCTTTCAGCCTGCACTCCCACATTTTATCCATGCCAGATGGCCAAAACAAACGACCTCATCCAACTGGTTAGCATTACTCGTTTTGCGTCAAACGCCAGCTCAGTCTAACTTCTCTATGGCATTTTGCATTGTATGAAGTTAAAGGCTTCGATTGCATCCAAGAAGGTCGCCCCGCATATGGATTGGTGGCCGGTAACCTGGATATACTATTGTTAAATGCAAAAAAAAAGGAAACATGTAAGATGTGCGCTTTACAGGGGGACTGGAAATGCACCAATTGCGGTAAGTCTAATCGTTCTTGTACTTTTACTAAATAAAGTCAATGACTCTATTTCGTTTATACTAGGCAACCATGTACTGAGTCCTAGACGTGTACTCTCCCGTTAAATGACGAACTAATCGCTCACTTCACGAGACACAGAACTTCTCGTACAGAGACACATGCAAGCGATGCCGAATTGGACGACTGAAAAACTCTGGCTTCGTTTTCCCGCCAACTTCTCCAGATTCCTCAGCCTGAAAGGGTAGATGGCAACAGGTGGTACAGGCACTGGTTTCTTGGATATGTCTTTCGATATATCTGTGCGTTCACTCTAAAAGCTACCCAGTTTTTCATGATTTCAACCCACAAAACGTTCTTAGTGCGAGTATCCAAGCATGAAGATTCAAATTTCTTCTGATTGCACACATGATATTGTATTTCGTTCTTGACATCGAAGTCATGCTAGTTTTCTTCATCGTCATTCCCGAGCGGTGGCAAATGTCGTTTAAGTGATTGCTCTACTGTAGTAGCGGTGCATTCGCTTTATCCGCATCAGCAATTCGCTTGCAGTCCTAAAAACACACGGTGTCTTGCTGTTATTGTCGTTGCTCCAAGGCCTAGGTAACATCAGATTTATCTTCCTCTAACTTAAAAAAAGGAGCCGAGGCTTGCAACTGCCACTGTCCTCGATGCCATCGACTTGAAGTCCAACATTCAGCTACAATCAACGACGATTGAGTTTGTGCATCGCAGTGTCGAACGTTTTGCTTAGGTCTCTAACATGAGTCAACGCTCTGCGTGATCAATATCCGTAGTCAAGCGCTTATAGGACGGCTCCACTATCTTGCATGGCCCACGCCAATCCTTGTGCACGTCAACAACTGCCGCAGCATGGTTATCTGCCATTGCATTGCTCTTGAAAGAGGAAAACGCACCGACTAACTTCTTTTCGCTGCTCTCCAGCACTTGCAGCCAGTGCTCGGCGTACCTTCGTCACCAACACCATCCCTGCTTTTTCTTCCTAAGTGGTCAGATTCCTTCGGCGACGCTTGACAAGTGCAATGATGAGTGAAACGGGAATTTTGCTTGTTAAATATCTTCATGCCAAAATGCATGTCCGTAGCCGTGGATGGCTAATAATCTGTTAATCGACCTAATAAGTAGTTGTTGCAACGGGTTGTCGACAGCCGGTCCGAATCACTTAGCTTTCTCATCTTACTCGCTCGATCAGAAGCTCCGTTACGCAGCTCAGAAACTGGTTGAGTCCCGTTCGGACGATCGCTTCCCTAAACGGACTCACTTGCCTCTGAGCTTGGGTTCATACAGGCAAAGATGGCGCTTTGTCGAGGAGGAGAAGAAGAGAGGAATGCAAAAAAGGCAGCCTTCACGACGGATTACATGGAGTCGTTGCCCAACACGTTGAGGCAGCCGTAGAAGCTCTTGAGCAGCTTGGTGATCTTGCATCCCTGCGTCTCGCAGCGAGCCATGACCACGGGTGGGCACTTGCAAAGCGCCTCTTCGAGCTCCAGCAGAAATGCGTTGAGGAACAGCACGCGCTCGCGTACGACGCTCTTGGAGTTCTTGCCGAGGAAGCGACCCTGCATGACTGGGAAATCGGTATCCTCGAATACGCGCTCTAGACAGGAGGCGAGTAGACAGCTCTTGTCACCACCACAGCAAACTACATGGTCCTGGAAGTGGCGGCGCGCGAGTTGCTGTAGCTGGAGGAAGGCCGAGAAGCGACGGTACACGAGGTCCTCACCGCCGTAGCGGTCGGTCAGCACGCGAATGGCGTAGTCGGTGTGGCCTGCCACCTTGCGGGTGGCCACGACGGAGCAGCGCACATTGCCGAGAGCGATGGAGGCGTTGGTAGGCGTGGTCGGCAGCATCTTCCCTAGAGGTTGGCTTCGTGGTACGAAAATGCAATTTCTGAAGTGACCTATTATACATGTTCTGTAAGTTACAGTGAAACGGCGACAGCATCGACAGATCGTCTGGCATACCGAACATATTACTGTATGTACATGTACTACTGCATTACCAGAGGGCCACGTTACTGCGACAAAGTGACGACAAGACGACAGCTCTTGTGGCAAAACAAGCAGGCAAATTCACGTAAGAAGAACCATAACATGCAACATAGTGTCGAGTCGGCGGTAGCAATTAATTACGGGAAAGATGAAAGTTACCGACGCCAATTGAGATATTCACAACAGCTCTGAAACTTGGTTTCACATTACATTAGCACTCAGCGACAGAAATGAATGAATCAAGCGCTGATCAGGGCGAACTGCCGCCTGAAACGCCTTTGGCTGCGAGCGATGAAGACCATGCTGACCTCTCCTGTGACGGGGTCACACAGCACCTTGCGCTAGAGGAAGTTATCTTCCGAGAGTATACAAACTATCAGTGAACGGCAGTTCACACGTCCCCTCTTTATTTAAAGAGAGCGAAGTGACCAAATTAACGTAGAATATAAACTGAGTATATTTATACTGTAGGTAGGTTAAGTTTGGGTTTAATACAAACTATAAGTTTCCTATAGAAATGCAATGTCGTTTGACCAATGGTTGGCTTTGAGCGACCTTGGTACCTTGTACCAAATATCCCGGAGTATGACGTGTCATACACCTGAAGTGTGAAGTGTCACACTTCATGTAACCAGGGTACACTTAGGGCTACGTACCCCGTTACATCCTCCCCCACTTAGGTTCGGTTTACCGACCAATCAGAATGAAGAGGTGTTCATCACAAACTCTCATTCTTAAAGTCGAAAACCATCGACTTGGCCGCGCGAGCGCGGCGGAGGCTCACTTCACAGTTAGAGCCTCGAGCAGCAACCTGTGTGCTCTTCGTCTAGGTCTCCAATTCGACCGTTATCATGCCTCGTGGCACTGCAAAGAGCGGTGCTAAGACACGCTCCAAGGCTGCTGCCAGTAAGGCGCAAGCCAAGAGCACTAAGCCTCACGGCAAAGGCTCGGCACTCAAGGAGGCTACTCAGGTGGCCTCCGAGGCGATCGGTTCCTCGGGTGACGCGGCTGTGGGCAAGCGGGCAAGCAAGCGCCGCAGTCCGTCGCCCTCGGCCTCAGACAATCGTCCGAACCCTCGGCTCGTGGAACGTGAGTTCAACTCTGGCAGTGAGGACGATGCCGAGTCCAAGAGCACGCACGATGCTCCTGCGGGCTCTGTGGGAGGGCACAGCCCAGTGCCCAGTGAGCACAAAGATGACAGCGTGCAGTCGCTCGCTAGTGATCAAGGTGATCACAGTCCCAGAACGTCTGTGCGCTCTGAGAGTCCGGCCGTCAAGGCTAAGGGCGCTCCCAAAGCCGGTGGCGATGAGGAAGAGAATCCTCGCAAACGTCTCTCGCTTGCCGAGGGTCTTGCAGGTGCTAAGGCCGCTAAAGCCGAAGGCGCCAATCCCTCAAAGAAGCGTACAGCCTCTAAGTCTCCACTCCGCGAGGAGAAGGAGACTCAACACTCCTATCAGAGTATCTTCGACTCCTCGGATGAAGAGGAGGAGAAGGAGGAAGAAGAGGAGGAGGAGGGTGCTATTGTTGAGCCCCGGGAGGTCTCGAATGACCTCGACCAGCAGCAGGAGGAATTCCAAGCTGCCCAGCGTGTGCGTGGGGGCTCGGTGGTGGCACCCGTCAGCCAGGGAGCTGACATCAACTCAATAGGGTATTGGCCTCCCGAGGAGAGCTCTGGGGCTGACCTCTTCTTAGAGATTCTCGTCGCTCCTCGTGGCCTTGTGGGTGGCCACACTTCTAAAGGCATGTATGAACGAGCCCTTGTTCAGAAAGAACAGTTGCTCGTTGACAACTTGGAGGCTGCTCGGTGTGTGCTTCTCGTGCCACACCGCATTCCCCTTAAGGACTTCACGACTTGTCGTAAGAAGCTCGAGACCCGGGGTGGTCTCTATCCTCTTTGGGGATACCCCTGGGTTATGCCCGAGAACTGTCCCACGTGGAGTTCTTGTGAGGACATGTTCTGGGCATGGGTGGAGTCTCTCAAGTACTCACCCACGGAGTTACGGGAACTCCATGAAGATCAGCTGCTGTCCCGCATCCTGGACCAGCGTGATCTCCGTGTGAGGTTTGCCCACTTGATCAGCAAGCGCATGCTGCCAAGGGACATCCTGAAGCGCGCGGCTTCTAGCGCTCTCGATGAGCGCGGGTACGGAGTGTCGTCAATGTCCGTACCCCGTTCGGGCAAGAAACCCCGGACTACTTATGAAGCTGCCGCCGCTTCTGTTCCCAGATTGCGACAGCCTTCGGGCAGTCAATCAGGAGCCGTTCAATCGGCTCCCACGAGTTCTCGGAGTGGGCATAACCCCTCCACTTCACGAGAAGCTGTCGCTTACCGCGACGCCGTTGCTCCTGGAGGATCCGCTCCACGTGGAAGTGGACCTCTCCATTCCGGTCAAGCAGGGGCGGAGGTGCCCTCGTACGAGTACGAGTACTCGGCGCCTCCCGAAAGCCACTCTCGTCCGAGTGCTTCTCCTGTGGGTCCGACACAGGGCCCTGAGGTTGATCGCCTCCGTCAACGTGTTCTTGTGCTTGAGATTGCACTTGGCCTTGGTACTGGCGGCGATGCTGCCGCCCAGGCCGGCGAGCTCGCTCGTCTT